TCAGGACGAGAAACTTTATTTTTCGGGCCAAAAAACCCTCCTATCTTAGTACGGGGGCCTAATAGTCTCTCCTAGTGGCTTGTTAGGCTTCGGCCGTCTTCAAATAGGCGGTCTTCTGACTTTATTTGGAGGTCGGGCAAGATTTGGGGTCTACAGTCATAGATTTTATTATTCGATTTATTTTTGAAAGAATAATAAATAGAAGAGGGAAAAGAATGAATATGACAAAATGCCTCGCGTATTAATGAAAATGAAAATGTATGTACTTAAGGGTCAAGCAATTTTCTATAGAATGTCCGGGTGAACCCGAATGGTAAGCGCATCTCTCGTTTGGCTTGTACCATTCGGGGTAGGGAGGTTCCAACTGCTTCTTGGGAGGCGCGCAGGTTAGGAGCTTAGCCTCCAACAGCTGAGGCAGCAGCAGTCCATAAGAAGTGGAAGTTGGAGTGAACTTCCTTTCTTTCTTGCGGGGCTGCCTGGGCGTTTGCGGGGTAGAAGAAGGAGTGGTAAAGTTGATTGCATGCACAGATTCGTCCTTCTTCTTGCCAGTAGGCTTCCTGAATGAGACGCCAGCTTGGGAAGACTGTGCTATCTTCCCGGTCCTCAGCCCCTGCTCTACTCTTTCCCCCACAGTGACTATATCCGAAAAGAGATTGGAGGTACTGGCTATCGCCTTATCGTAGTACGCTCCGGTCAGCGAATCGATGAACATAGCCACTGTCTCCTTGTCCGTCAAAGGAGGCTCTATCTGGGCTGCCATTTCCCTCCATCTTTGGGCGTACACTTTAAAAGGCTCGTCATTCCTTTTACTTAGAGTCCTGAGATCTGACCTGTCGGGGGTCAGATCGATGTTGTATCGGTAACGGCGGAGAAAAGCGTCAGCCAGCTGTTTCCAGTTCTGGACCTGCCCTCTCTCTAACTGCATGTACCAGTTGAGAGCTGTATCCGCCAGACTCTCCTGGAAGCAGTGGATCAGGAGTTTTTCATTCTCAGCATGGGCGGCCATCTTACGACAATACATCGTAAGATGGTTCTTTGGGCAGGTCATCCCGACGTACTTGGGGAAGTCCGGGATCTTGAATTTGGGAGGGAAATGGATGTTCTTTACTAGGCACATGTCCGCCACCTCCTTGACGTCGAAGTTGTGCCCTTCTACTGCCTTAAGCCTCTCCTCCAGGGTAGAGAGTTGTTGTTTAGATACTTCTGGGGTAAGGATGCGTGTAGTTTTGGCTTCCTTCCCGTCATAGAAGTATTCTTCCTCCTCCTCCTCATGGTGAGGTATGTGCTCAGCTTGGTCTTCGCCCTTACTCTGACCCTGGCGTACGACCTCCATCAGTTGGGTCATTTGTTCGCGGAGGGTATTAACCTCCGCAGTGAGCTTTCGGTTCTGCTCCTCCAAGTTTTCCATTGCTCTTGCCTTTTGTGCTTGAGTGTGGATGTGGAGAGGACCAGCCACTTTCTAGAATGCCCGGAGGAACTTTATTAATGCATGTTGAGTGCTTAAAAATGGGTATGCTTATGCATGAGAGATTCTTTTTTAATGATGTTGCATGTGTTCTCACTTCTTATTCTCTCTCTTGGTTTTTCTTTACTCATGGTATGATGTAATATGAATGTTTTGACTTTGTCAGACGTTTATTTATTATTATTATTATTTTTATTTGGTTTCGGTTTTTTATTATAGCCTTTTATCTCTTCTGTCAGAACTGCGTGGCTACTTAGCTTGCAAAGAACCTGAAACCAGGCTAGCTAAAAGGCAGACTGTCCGAGATAAAAATATGGCTTTATGCGAAAGAATATTTAGCGTCCCTTATCTCTTCTGTCGGAACTGCGTGGCTACTTAGCTTACAAAGAACCTGAAACCAGACTAGCTAAAAGGCAGATTGTCCGAGATAAGGGTGTTTATTTGGAAAAATATTTTTTGTGATTTTTTTTTATTTGTTGTTTGTTTATGCTATGCAACAGACAAATGCAACAAACATATGCACACACAATTCGGTCATCCGCGAACAGGCGAGAATTCGTTTTTATCACGAGGTAGGGTTTTCCTGCAGAAAAGTGCATTGGCAAGGGTTGGTTCTAACTGTTCTCACCAGGCTAAGGCCCCCAAGGTGCCCCCATTATAGGGTCCCCACTCTCCAGCCGTCCGACCATGCTTAACACTAAGGCCATAGTCAGTCTTGTTGCCAAAAGAGGAAGGTTATCACCTTGAGTGGTGGTTTCCGATCACGCTTGGTGGGCTCAAGGCCCTCACTACGACGACCGTACCTACCACCCACTCCCTATGGATTTCTCACTTGCCCCCGGGTATAGAGGAAACTGTTGTGTGCAAGGGTTTGTGTACAATTTTTATTTCAAACAATTGCGTAATTATAAACAAACAACAGTTATTAAAGCCAAACCGTAAAACATGTTATAATACAAGTTAAGGGCAAAAGCGTTATTTTCTTGGTTTATTTATTTTTAAGCTAGGCCCATCACTAAATGGGATCAACTCTCGAGGCTTCCCGAGTGGAGTCGCCATCCGTCGCCGCCGTCAAAAGAGGCGGTCGGAGCGACGCGATGGTTTCGACCCTCTTGATTTTCGCATTTTTTATGGGTGGTTACAACGCCTTTAGGTTGTCCGATAACCGGGTTAACCTAGGAGCGAGGTTTTCGAAAGGGCGTCCTTAGGTTGTCCGATAACCGGGCTAACCCAAGGACTAATTTTGTAGGGTTCTGTGGAGGCGCCACCGATGTTTTTACCGAAAACATCGGAAAAGGGGTTTTAAAAGGCGTTGGTTTTCGAAAACCAACTTTGGTCATTAGAACCAGAGTTGGGTAAGGGAGTTAGTGACGTGTAAAGGAAGTATTAGTTCCTTTACTACGCCCCTTTCGGGTTCCCTATGATAGGCCAGCTACTTTGTTAATAAATAAACCGGAAAAATACGCTTTTGCCCTTTTTATTTTGCGGAATTTAAAATTATGACTACATGGCCCTAATCTATTGCATAATTTAAAATTAAAGCAGTAAAAGTAGAGAGGGAGAATTTGAACCTCCGAAGCAAGCTTTCTTTTTTATTTCTTTAACAAAAATGGGTGCTTTTTGGCAGCCCTTCACTCTACACGACGCTGGAAACTTTTCTAGACGCCGAAAAACGCTCACAAAGGCACTCAGAAGCTCCGGAAATGCGTCGGAGGGATTCTAGAGAGAAGTTTTAGAGAGAAGGGAGAGCTAAAGCTGTGTGGTGTCTGGAAATGAGGGGGGGAGACCCCTATTTATAGGTTTCCGCGCTTGACAGTGGCGAGACCGCCGTTCTCGTCTGACAGGGTCGAGACCGCCGTCTCGCCAAACGAGACCGTCGTCTTGCTATGCCAAAGTGGTGAGACCGCCGTCTGGGAAAGCGAGACCGCCGTCTCGCCATTCGCAGGTGGTGAGACCGCCGTCTCGTTTGGCGAGACGGCGGTCTCGCCATTTGCATGAGGCGAGACGGCGATCTCGATTTTGAGACGGCGGTCTTGCCCCCAAAAAGGCGAGAAACCTTATTTTTGTGCCGAAAATCCTTCCTATCCTAGTATGGGGCCTAATAGTCTCTCCTAGTGGCTTGTTAGGCTTCGTCCATCTTCGAATAGGAAGTCTTTTACTCTTTATTTGGAGGCCGGGCAAGATTTGGGGTCTACACTCGGGATGCTCCTTTGGTGTGGTAGCTGACCCCTTGGATGGTTGTGACGCCTCAGGATGCTCCTTTTGATGCGGTAGTTGACCCTTCGGCTAATGAAGATTTTCCTTAGAATGTTCCTTTGATGCAACAGCTGACCCCTCGGGACGAGATGTGGGTTGTATCTTCTGGATACCCTTTTGTAACAGGGTTGATCCTTCGAATGATGTGCATCCCTCCTTTAAGATACTCCTTTGCAGCGGAGCTGATCTGTCAGCGGATGACGGGGGATTGTGTCTCTCGGATACTCCTTTGCGACGGAGCTTATCCTCTAGACGAAGTGTAGAACTCTATCTTCTGATGCCACTTGCGCTGTGATGGCTGATTCTTCCGATAGAGAAGGTGGTGGTGGCTTACTGCTCTAACTCATGCGTCGACATTTGTCTTCAGAACACTCCCTTGCAACGGAGCTGGTTCTTCGGACGATGTATGTGGTGGTGGCTTACTGCTCTAGCTCATGAGCCATGGTTTTTCCCGTTTGCAGGTCTTCGTCTTCAAGACTTTCCTTGTCCCAAAGTGGTGGCGGCGGCTTACTGCTCTAGCTCATGCGCCGACTCCATGGGAAGTGATTGCTCTTGACTTTTCTTGTGTAGTCATCCGATTTGTTGACATCTGGTAGATTCTTGGTAAATGCCTCTAGAGTGGGCCGGATTTGTTTGGGGATTGGGCCTTTTTATTGGCTGCGCTTTTTGTGGACCGGTAATCTCCTCCCATATTTGACTGGTGGTGAGGGTGACTGGCCTTTCGCAGAATGCCCCCCTGTATTCTGCAGTTTGGATCTCTACTGGCTGATGAAACCCCATGAGGATGTTGAAATAATCTATGACGTTGGTCCGATAGGCCCCATTCATCCAGTAAGTAACTGCTGGGACAGGAGGAAGCTCAGGGATCATAGATGGTAGGTCTATGAGTGTGAAAGAGGCGAGGAATTCCAGCGTGGCAGTGCGGTGAATGCGGGTAGGTGGATCTCTGAGCAGGAAGTCCCACCCTATGCCTTAGATGTATCTCCTTACATCCTGATCCCAACTGAGCATAGGGTGCCAAGCATACTGGTTGTTGTTGACAAATCTAGCCTGGTGCTGCTCTGTCAGCTAAGTGGGAACCTGAGGAGGAGGAGGGATGCTCCTTATGGGTCCCCGGGAGCATTTCTGACGTGTTGACGATTCCCCACGATCCATTACTCAACAAAAAACACTCAAATATGCAAAGGGGAGGTAAAGGAAGAAGAGAAAATGCAAAAATGGGATGCCATGAGCCATTTGGGGCGCCTAAATTTATAGGCAAAAAAATGCAAGGGCGGACGGCTGTCTGGTGTAGTTGGACAGCCATCTGCCCCTAACGGTCGCTCATGGACGACCGTTTGGGTAGGGTGGATGGCCGTCTGCCCCCAACGGCTACCCTTGGACGACCATCTGGTCCCAACGGCCACCCTTGGACGGCCGTCTGCCTTAAGTGGACGGCCATCCGCTTCCTCTTTTTTTTTTCTTTTTTTGAGAAAATAGGACCCTGTTCATCAACATCTATGCATGTAATATCCATGATATGCATCCTATAATGCCATTTCAGTTAATATTTTCAGAAAAGTTAACTGATGTGCTCTTGATGGTGAGATTCTTCTGGTGTCACATTCAGCTGTACCGTTTTTTCCATTTTGGATTTTCGGTAATCGAAGAATGATCGTGTTGAAGAGTTATTTCGCCATACTAGTGTGTTTCTTCCCCTTTTTGGAATTTCAATCCTCCTATTGATTACTATGTTTCCACATTACCTGGTTAATCACTAGAATATCGTAGCGATAAGGGTCAAGAGAAAAGAAGGAAGATGATGATTAAATCAAAGGTTTGTGTTTTTAGAAGGGATTTCTTTTTTCAAAACAATGGTATTTGTAAGCACGACTAGCCAAGGTTAGTCAAACTGTTTAGGCTTAGTTTAAACAAACATTTGTTTTCGGGGTTGCGTCTTTACTTGATTGTTTTGTGGCGCTTATTACGACTGATTGACTTTCCTAGATCGCCCTTCGGGTTTTCAATCTAGGATGTTGTGTTTCATCCTAACTTTTGTCTGGGTTTCTTTTTTTATTATGCTTTAGAAACTCTAATGGACTTTGTTTTGTAACCCTATCTTTTGTCTAAGCTACCCTTTATTATTGTTCGGGTTTTCTAGCGGGTTGACCCTAACTTTTGCGTAACCCCCTTTTGTGGGTTTCCTACCGGGTAAATTGCCCTTTCTTTTTTGGCCTTTGGCTTCTATGGGCTCTTTTTATCATTTTCACAACATTGGCGAAACACGACTTTACTATGATGAGGCAAAACCTTACTTGTGTTCCTAATAAATCAGTGATGGTTAATTTTGTTTTTTTGCTGATAGCGCGCTCTTAAATTTTAGACGTCTTTCAGAAACGTTTGCTTAAACATGGTTATTAATGAGGCATAGACATGAATAGTAAGAAAAGAAGTAGATAGTAAGAAATGTATTCTTTTATGATTAAAAGGGTAATATGTGCCCTGAAAATGCTCGGGGGTCGTGCTTGCCCCGGGGAGTAATCTCTAATAGTCATTGGGTTTACATCCCTTTAAAAATTGGAAGAAGAACACCTAATGACTAAAGTCGCTCTTGATGCCTGTATCCCTCCTCTTCGGAAGATCTGATTCAAAGGGCGGAGGGGAGACTTTCCCTTTCTTCTTATAGTAGGTTCGTACCCTAGATCGTGCTTCAAAGGATTGTCCTTGAAATCTGGTGGCTCCCTTATTCCTTGGGAATTCCTACTGAGTCCCTGGCTTGGGTGGTACCCGTATTTTGACATCATATGTGCCACCCTCATGTTGTTGGGAAATCATTCAACATTGGTGATTTCTAGCGCTTGAAAGGATGTTTCAAGGGCCTCTTCAACTGCATCCACATAAGGTAGGGTAGACGGATTGCTAATTAAGATGTCGTCTTCGGCTTGAATTGTGACCAGTTTGTCACCTACCACGAATTTGATTCTTTGGTGGAGCGTTGAAGGGATCACTTTGGCGTCGTGAATCCAAGGTCTGCCGAGGAGGCAGTTGTAAACAGGAGTGATGTCCATCACATGGAAGTCCACATTGAAGATAATGGGACCTATCTGATTGGTAGGTTGATTTCCCCCATTACTTCACGTCTTGATCCGTCGAAGGCTCGAACGACAGTGTTACTTGGGCGCATATAGGCTCCTTGTATCGTCAATTTGTTAAGCTTTGCACTTAGGCATGATGTTCAGGGATGATCCATTATCCACAAGGACTTTGGCGATGAGATATTCTCTACACTTGACGGATATGTGTAAAGGCTTGTTATGGCTTGACCCTCCAGGAGGGAGTTCTTCATCGGTGAAGGTAAGATGATCATTGGCTGTGATATTCCCAATAATTCTTTCGAACTTGTCTTGGGATATAGTGTGCGACATGTAGGCTTCGTTTAAGACCCTCAGCAGCGCATTCCGGTGTGGTTCTGAACTCATTATTAAAGATAACAGGGTTATCTTCGCGGGCATGCGCTTGAGTTGGTCTATGATGGAGTACTCACTTTGCTTTATGAACTAGAGTAATTCATCTGCTTCCTCCTTGGATTCTTCTTTGTTTTCTTCTTCGGTTTCTTTATTTTTTCCTTTATTTTTGGGGGCGTCTTCTTGTGACTCCTTGGAAGAGTAGATTCGCCCGCTTCTGGTCATGCCCCCAATACCAGATTGTCGCCGCCGTCAAAAAAGAGAGGGCGGTCGGAGCGAAGTGATGGTTTCAACCCTCTTGTTTTCGCGTTTTTTATGGGTGGTTACAATGTCTTTAGGTTGAAGCACTTGGTGGATTTGATGAAGACATAATATTGAGTTGATATAGTTTAGTTTGTGGGTGTGTAGATGAATAGGTTAGAAGTTTAGAACTTAATCTCTTGATAGGCCAATAAATCTTGTGATAAGCGCCTTAATATGATGCATCTCAGTGAAATCATTTTTCTGCATGAAAAACTAACATTTAAGCATTAAAAGAACAAACTAAGTTTTTCAATCTGTTTAAAATGATTTTCAATCTGTTAAAATCACTTAACATAATAAGTGGTCATACATAGTCGAAATTCCAATTGATTGAATCGCAGAATCAACAGGTTAAAATGACTTAATGAATTTTTCAATATCAAGGTTTCGTATTTTCAATCTGTTGAAATGTTTTTTAATCTGTTGAAACAGAAAGACTATTTTTCTATCTAAGAGTCTACAGGATTTCAATCTGTTGAAATGATTTTCAATCTATTGAAACAGAGAGCTATCATTTTTCATAAAGTCTGTTTCAATCCATTAAAAACTTCGAATCAATCGATTGAATGAAGTTTTAATGAAATCAATCGATTGAATCGTCGTTTTAATCGATTGAAATGTATTCTGATCGATCATAATTTCATTCGATCGATCATAACTTGTTCTAATCGATCATAATACTTTTCTAATCGATCATAATCGATTCTAACCTGTTATATTTTCATTCTGATCGATCAGTTGCATCTTTGAATCAGTTTTTGATTGAGTAAACGTTCTGGTTCTCTGTTTTACTTTATAAATACAGATTTGATCTATCTTTTGAAATACACAACTTGAGAAAACATTTGAAATCAATCTGTGAAGTTATCATATCCGTGACTTTCTCTGCATTCAAGAACTTTTCATATCATAAGGTGCTTTGATAAAGATTGTTGTTAGTCAAAGAGAGAAAGTGTTGTGTTAGAATCGTTTACGGACAATTTCATCGATAGAGCTGCAGTCCAGGTTTTTTCTTTTCATACTCTTTTGTAAAGTGTGTTTGTGCAGGTTGGAATTTGGATCTGCACTTGTTACGATGACTTGGATTTGGTTACTTGGGAGGTTTTCAAGAGGCTATCTTGTGGGTTTGCAAGATAGTTCTTGGGGTAGATTGGTGAGTATCTACTGGTTGTAATTTTCACTTGGTATTAGTGGAACTTGGCAGATTTGTCAAGAACTGGATGTAGCTCTGGTATAGAGTGAACCAGTATAAATTGTTGTGTTGAATTTCTTCTTTCATCTCCTTTATTTCTTGTCTATATACTTGCTGTAATTAAAATCAACCTATTTACACAAGAATTAAATAAAGATAATTCATTCTTCCAAGAGAAAGTAAGTTTTGCGAAAAAGTTTTCAAAAGTTCAATTCACCCCCCCTCTTGAACTCAACCATTAATTCTTTCAGGCTTGACCCTCCAGGAGGGAGTTCTTCATCGGTGAAGGTAAGATGATCATTGGCTGTGATATTCCCAATAATTCTTTCGAACTTGTCTTGGGATATAGTGTGCGACACGTAGGCTTCGTTTAAGACCCTCAGCAGCGCATTCCGGTGTGGTTCTGAACTCATTATTAAAGATAACAGGGTTATCTTCGCGGGCATGCGCTTGAGTTGGTCTATGATGGAGTACTCACTTTGCTTTATGAACTAGAGTAATTCATCTGCTTCCTCCTTGGATTCTTCTTTGTTTTCTTCTTCGGTTTCTTTATTTTTTCCTTTATTTTTGGGGGCGTCTTCTTGTGACTCCTTGGAAGAGTAGATTCGCCCGCTTCTGGTCATGCCCCCAATACCAGATTGTCGCCGCCGTAAAAAAAGAGAGGGCGGTCGGAGCGAAGCGAAGGTTTCAACCCTCTTGTTTTCGCGTTTTTTATGGGTGGTTACAACGCCTTTAGGTTGTCCGATAACCGGGCTAACCTAGGGGCGAGGTTTTCAAAAGGTCGTCCTTGGGTTGTCCGATAACCGGGCTAACCCAAGGACTAATTTTTGAAGGGTTCGGTGGAGTCGCCACCGATGTTTTTACCGGAAACATCGGAAAAGGGGTTTAAAAGGCGTTGGTTTTCGAAAAACCAACTTTGGTCATTAAAACCAGAGTTGGGTAAGGGAGTTAGTTACGTGTAAAGGAAGTGTTAGTTCCTTTACGACGCCCCTTTCGGGTTCCCTATGACAGGCCAGCTACTTTTATTGATAAATAAACCAGAAAATACGTTTTTACCCTTTTATTTGCGGAATTAAAATATTATGACTACATGGCCCTATCTATTGCGTAATTTAAATAAAGCGGTAAAAGTGGATAGGGAGAATGTAAACCAGCACGCTTTTTCTATTAATTCTCTTTAAAAAGAGGGTGCTTTGTGGCAACCCTTCACTCTACAGCGGCAGAAACCTCTCGAAACGCTCAGAAATCACTCTAAAGACACTCAGAAGCTCCGAAAATGCGTCGGAGGGATTCTAGAGAGAGAAATCCTAGAGAGAAGGAGGAGAGAATGTTGTGTGGTGTGTGGAAATAAGGGGGGGGAGCCCCTATTTATAGGTTTTTGCGCCTGACAGTGGCGAGACCGCCGTTCTCGTCTGACAGGGTCGAGACCGCCGTTCTCGTCTGACAGGGTCGAGACAGTCGTCTCGCCATGCCAAAGTGGCGAGACCGCCGTCTGGGAAAGCGAGATCGCCG